ATGTGACTTATTGCAACCAATACTTACTTGATAATGACACTGGCATATGAAATTTCTAACATTTCTTTGGGTCACTGATGGTGGACATTTAAGTGAAAATCTAGGATCTTTCAAGTGTAGCTGGGTTGCAGAATTTCAGTCACAATACATCTTGTATATAAAATAAAAATAAATTTTATTTTCTTTATTTTTGTTGCAGCTTATCTAGGCTTCTTCCCCAGCCCTCAATCAGTAGTGAATGAAGGTAGAGAAGGGAAATTAATTAAATGTCCCATCAAGTTTGGAGCTGCCAGGCCTGATAATTTAAGCTGTCTTTCTCAGTTGGTGTTCATTCTTCCATTTGGATAAAATGCCCAATCTCTCATGTATTCACCTCCCCCCCACTTCTTCCCCTAAGATGATGTCTTGGTGTGTGAGGAAAGGTGAGTGCAATTAATGGATCCTACTGGCTATGAGAGTAAGTAGGACTTCTCGGATTCATGCGGAGCCTTTGCATTATCTTCTGGCACTCCCGTTGCTGAATCCACCTCCTATCTGATGTCTAGATGCCTGCTTGCATTCCTGGTCGCAGTCTGGAGCTGGTGAGCTCATGGTCCTTTACTTTGGCTTGTATAGGATGATAGGGAAATAGCATGCAACTCCTCCAGTGGACATGGTCTCAAGTCAGGTCTCTGTAGAATCCTGAGTTCCCGCCATGAGCTCAATCCTGCTCACTGACCAGTGGTCTATCCCCAGTGGCTGCTGTGAGGCTGTCTTACCTGTGACAGCAGCACCCATGCCTCAACTAACCAAGAGTAGCCAATGAAGCTTAGCCAGAGAGCTTCTCTCTACCTAAACATGTGACAAGGACAATGGCCATTTTGAGGTGGGCTTTGTAACAAAGGTTGGGTCAGTTCTTACATTTTTTGAGGACAAACACATCTGAAGACTCTCTAGGCTATCACCTTTAATATCCAGGGTCTCTTTATTCCAGGATTTAAGATTTGCTGGACACATCCAAGAGGTGAAACATTGAGGTCTAAGATTGTTTCTGCGTGTGGAAACACACACTTTACAGAAATTCTCTGATGAGATGATACAACTTGTGATCTGAAAGGACAAGTAGAAGTCTTCTCTCCAACAGTAAAATAGATTTGAAAATTTCCAATGACTAATCTCACCCCAATATCTGCCTTAATCTGTGAACTATGGGGACTTCCCAAGGTTTCCTAAGTCTAAACAGAAAATCTGAGTGTTTGATGTTCTTGATGTAGTTTCTGGGTCTCGGAAGTCATTTATTATTACCACATACATCTTAATAGCAGGGAGATTTTTCCTGACTAAAACTGGTACAATAAATGACCTTCTTATCAAATATAACTATTTGTATTAAAACAACACAAGCAGTTGTATTCCAAGTCTAGCATTGTGCTTTGAGAAGTAACTCGAAGATGTTTTGTCAGTAATACCTCACTCAAACTCAGTAGCTGGATTATGACTAGCAATCTTTTCATTGTTTTCTGTTTTAACTACCTTGCCCACAGAAATCAAAAATGCATTTTCCATATAACTGACTTTTTAAAATGCTGCTTCTCTTTAATCTCTCCATATGGTATGTGTTCTTTGTAACCAGAAAGTAGTTACAGAGTATGTATAAATAAATAAATGTAAATAGAGTTCCTTTTTTTTTAAATATACTGACCTTTCCAGAGAATTTTATGATTCTACTTCCTCTGCCACTCATGACTCTTCTGTGGCTGGATCTGACCTGCTTAGAACTCATGAATTCTTAACATCCGGGGAGTATCTATTCAGCCCAGTTTGCATACGTCATGTAAGTTATTTCCTTTGAAAAATGTGCATACATTTTCACTGGGTCTACAGGCCTGGGGAGTTTCTGTGGCCCTAAAAGTGAGAACTGGTGTCTCTCAAATCTCTTTCTTCCCCTCATGAGTACTGAGAGCTAGATGATGTGGAGCCAGGCTCCTGCTGATACAAGCACCTCCTGCTCTTCTACTATGCACTCCACCAGCAAGATTCACACGCTCGTTCATTCCCTCCACAGAGAACATTCTTGAGCATCCTGACTGTTTCCAAGATGGGGAAGGTAGAAGGGTGAGCAGAAAACTGATTCTCTGTCTTTCGCCACAATTTACATTTAACTCCAGCTAGTGTTCTTTCTCTTACTTGGAGAAGGGTCCAGCTAATGAAATATGTAAGATCAGATTATGGCCATCACAATATTAACAAACAAAAGGTATAGAAACTAAACTCACATGCCAAGGGTCACCATGACAGGCTTTATCTTCAATATTTCTATCAGATTATCATGTGTAGTGCTTGCAGACGCATTGTGCTATGGTGTGTTTGGAACATATGGACTAAAACTTGGAAGACGACCTGCATCAGGCATAACAGACACCGAAAGCAGAGATATACAGACCTACGCTAAGGCATTGAGGGGTACATCTCCCCAAATCACATGATAGCTTAAATCATACTATAATAATTTGCCTCCTGTAGATGGAATTCAAGAGGAATCCATCAATTAATAAAATTATATCAATTAATATAAACCTTTGGTGAACATTACATGTATTAATATATGATAAATCAAACTATAGTTTAGAATTTTGTCTGCTAATTATATTTATTGATTTTAATCTTCATGATAAGCTTTGTGACTCTTTTTAATAGCATCATTGGTTTAGTTGCTATATATGTATATGTCAGATATATTAGGTCTCTGTGTATATATTTACATATATACACACACATATTGTAAGCATATATGTGTTTTTTATAGATAAATAAATCCTCTTTGAGCATTTTGTTTTCCAAGCTAGTGTTTGCATTTGAATTTTCAAAAAAAGTACTTTATTCTTGCCAAATAATTATATTAAAGACAGCCTATATAGCAGCATAGCAGAATTTACTTCTTAGAACATTCACTTAATTACCTAAAAAAGTCCCTAAAATTCCAACACATGGATCTTATAAGAGCACTTATGGCTGCGTGCAGTGGCTCACACCTATAATCTCAGCACTTAGGGAGGCCAAGGCAGGTGGATCATGAGGCCAAGAGATCGAGACCATCCTGGCCAACATGGTGAAACGCTTTCTCTATTAAAAAACAAAAAAATACAAAAATTAGCTGGGTCTGGTGGTGGGCACCTGTATTCCCAGCTACTTGGGCTGCTGAGGCAGGAGAATGGCTTGAACCTGGGAGGTGGAGGTTGCAGTAAGCCAAGATGGCGCCACTGAACTCCAGCCTGGTGACAGAGCAAGACTCTGTCTCAGAAAAAAAAAAAAAAGATACTTATACTTACGGACAAAAAGCAAATTGGGATTTTCAATATCATCAGTAGCTATGGAACAAACAAATGGCTCTGATGGTAAGGCTATGGCAAAAGGACTTACTGTTGGGTGATCCTGGAAATCATAGTCTATGGATCCAGACCTGCCAGTCATGGCCCACGCTGCCATTTTCCTCTTCCTTATGTGAGACTGTGGCATCTTTACCAAATGACATTTCATGCTGTTTTCACACTATTGTTTCTTGAACGTCTTCTTTAACTAACTTTCATTTTGTTCTTCAATCTGGTATATGTAATATGCAGGGAGCCTATCAACAAATTACTAAAGCTCTTAGTGACTCTTCACTCCCAAAGCGCTTGGCTAACAGGTGCAAAACAGTGAACTGAGAGATTTTGTGGTGAAAGAATAATTTATTGTAATGGCAAAGACCTCAGCCCTTACATTTCAGAAACGGCATCAGGAAGTACCTCTGGAGGACCATTCCCCTCAAAACTCTGGAATGGCTACAACATTACGGATTAACAAAAGTTAATTTTTAACCCTCTACAAAGTTACACGATGTGACTTATTTTGTTTTTGCCTGGATGAGTTGGGTGAGGTCCCTATGAAGCTAATTGGTATTTTTCATCTGCTAATCTATATCCTATGTGGAATTACTTAGGCAGAACTCCAGAGTCAGAGTGAACTTTTCTCTCTGCTCTTCTCTTAAGCAATTTATTTGTCATTTACTCTATGTTCATCTTTACCAGTTTGCTGCAATTTAATTTAGATTAGTGATATGCCAATATGTGAGCCAGGGAAAAAACTTATTTACTTTATAGCATCCTATGAATTGGTCAAAAGTAATGACAATTCCAAGGAGAAATTTGGGCTTGAAAACTGAGTTCCCACCACTGCCAGTCCCTGGTGCTTCGCCATCTTATCTAAAGCTTCTTCTGAGAACATCACAGCAGGTTGTCCCTGATTGCTAGTACATTCTCCTAGAGGTGGGACAAGTGTAAGAAGAGCATTTGACACAACCCAATCTCTCACGAGACGACTCCCAGTGAAGGCCATTGTTTAAAGGAGAGCCAAATTTTGCAGCTCTTCAGGAAAACACCACAATGCATTTCATAAAGCGTACCAAGATGGCAAAACCGTTCAGTCCCATTGGAAGAGAGAGTTTATTCTCTATTTCCCCCCCTTCTCTAAAATGGGCGATTGCTTTTCTGCCAAAGCGGCTCAAAAGGGCTATGAAAGCTAAAGTCCTTCAAAGCTGTTAAATGCATCTTCAAATTTACAACAAAATCAGCATGACAAATCTTCCAGTAAAATCTCTGGAGCATCACAGCAGCGTCTATACGATTTTCCTTTCAGTCAGTATTTTAGTATTCCACACCTTGAGAAACAGGGAAAGCCAATGTGGGCGAGGAAAGCTAAGCAAAACGAAAACCAAAACAGAAAAAAAAAAAAAAAAAAAAAGCCACCACCAACAAAGACAGTGAAAAAAAAAATGCAAACAGCCACGCGAGCTATTAAGCATATGCCAAAGTAAACAATCGGTGCGGGTTTGCCACGGCTGTGCCCTGCAGGTAGAAGGCAGGCAGCACGGGAGCAAATGGAAGGGGAAAGAGAAAGAGAAGCAGGAAGTGGAGGAGCCGGGAGCAGGGCGGCCTGATTGTGAGCCGCAAGACACACCATCAGCCATGCAAAACAGGACATACCTTTCTGGCTTGCTGGTTCTGTCGGCTGAGACAAAGCAGTCCCATTCGCAGCGGGAGGCCAAATCAAAATGAAATTTTATTTAGTCTGCACTGTCCCCAGATTGGGTTTCAGAATGACTGCTTTAGGAGATAGCATGGATGTGGCTGATGCATGCTTTGCATATGAAACTGCAGTAGGAAAAGAAATCTACATAATCAAAAAAATCTGTGCTCTGTGTGTGTGACAAAAACCATGGACTCCAGTGATTTTGCTGCCGTGTATGTCTCAAGCAGGCCCTTTCAGGGTTGAAAGACGTTAACAAATTTTTCTTAAAATAATGTTATTAACAAATATTAATAAATCGATAACAGTCCAGTTCATGAAAATATATGCAATTTCCTGGTTACAACTCTGCCACATTAAAACAATTGTGATTTCTAGTATATTTTAAGAGTGTATCAAAAATCTGTGTGAGAAAACAAATTGAATTTAAAAACAAGTGCTGGCTATTTTTTTTTTTTTTTTTTTGGAGCGGGGTTTGTTCCAACAATTGCTATACTCCCTGAACCTTGATAAAATAAATTAAAAGCTTAAGTTTTAAGCAATATGGAAATTAACACTAGGAACCTCTTTGACTTTTCTCTGGGAAGACCCTTATTCATGGTTAGAAGCTATTTTAAAAATAGGGCAAAAGTCTTTGAAAACACTCTTTAGATGTTGGAAATTATATTTTTAAAATTAAGAAAAGGGACTTCAAAAGGTATTTAGAATGCCTATCATGAATCTCTAAATAGATATGTGTGCTGTATGTGTGAATTGTACACACACACAGGCATACCTACTGTGGTCTTAATACGGGGTTACCTCCTGTTTTGGGCAGGAAAAGGAAGTGATACTCCAGATGCTGTGAAACAAGGGGGCAGAATAGGGCCTGTTGGTAAATACATATTATTTCTCAAAGAAATACTTATCCCAGCTTGGTTTTGATAGATCAGTTCCTTGAGGTTGAGGGCTGGGAATCATTTTCTTTAAAGAGGAAATAAAACCTAAAAGAAAAAAGAAATAGAAAGAAAAACATACCTGTATAAAACGGTAGCCAAAAAAAAAAAAAAAAAAAAAAAAAAAAGGCAAGACAGGCTCTCCCACTGCACGGTGCTCTGAAAAAAAAACATGGACTGTCGTCGTTCTGTTTTATGAAGTATTCCCAAGAATGGGAAGAGTATGAAATCTGCCCATTTAAGCTCTGAGGAGGCAGTCTCCAAGCCACGACCCAGAGCAGCGGAAAAACTTCTCACGATGATGAGATACAAATAGCTCAAACAATGTGCTTCCTTACACCAGCCCCAGCAGAAATCACCAACAGCAGAACTGTGTACCGACACCCCTTAGAGAGACAGTCAAGCCTAATTCTGTGATTCAGGTTTTGACACAATTTTCTTAGAAAAGCTTTTGCCTGTTTCAATTTGGATGTGTGACCTGTCAATAATAATGTTTACAAATGTAAAGGTCTTCTTAAATTGATAATTTTGCGTTAGGCATAATGGCACCATGTTCATCTGTGTACACCACCAGCATAATTAAAGCATAAAATCCAAAGAGAGCAAATAGCGTGTGCTTCCTTTATGCTCCAGAACCACCACATCCAGGTCTCCTCATAACAAGGGCACTGCCTTGGTTTCTCTGTTGCTTTCAAGCAAGACCCTCTTTTGCCTTCTCTTTCCATTATAGCATAATTGTTCAGATATTCATTAAGCAGGAGTTTTGCCTACATATTATTTTTAGTGACAGGACACACCTTTTCTGGAGGACGGAAAGATGTGACTTCTTAACAAATTCTCTATCCCTCAAATTCAGTGCACCTGGCATTCACTTTCTACCTAATAAGCATCCGTGAATATGCAAATGTGCAGTGTCTCAGTAACCTCATTAATTTATTCCTCAGGCAATCATAGAATGTGAACCGGTCCTGTGCCACTAGTACTGGATATGGTAGGAGAAGCAGGGCTACGAGAATCAGCTGAAAACTCAGGCTGCATATTGAAATACTGTTTCATCTTAATTCCATCCTTTGGCACTCTAATTCAAACAAAGACTCTTACCTTCCTCTACTTAGCGTACATCCAAACTCAAAATTAAAAAAAAAAAAAAAAAAAAAAAAAAAAAAGAAAAGAAAGAAAAAAAGAGAAATGCCTAGGGTTAATAATTAAGATCTTGCCTCCACCACCAAACACAAACCAGAAGTGATCCCTGGCTTGAACAAAATCTCCACAGTGAAACAGTTTCCAAACTGCCCAAGTTGTCTTATTTTGTTATTTATTGGCGGTTGGCAGTGGGGGATGGGGAGTAGAGGGCAACCTGCTTTCCATACAGCAATACAGTTGAATAATCTTTCACTTTGCCCACATTAAAAGCCCTGAATAATGTTTATAAAATGTTAGGGAATCCCGGTAGGTTTCCTATTTAACAAGCCATGTATGACAAATCACAGTGTAATGTACTACGTTCTTAATCTTTAATTAGAATGTGAATATCTGCTAGAGAACGCAGTTAACTTTGACACGTTAAATCTTCTGGTTAAAGTGCCTTACAGGAAGAGCAAAGATGAAACACTGTAACAATCTCCCGCTTCTCTCCATTCACCCAGACAGTTGGGGAAGGATGATAACATCTTGTAATACCTGCTCTGTAGTAATTAATCGCTGTGGTATTTAGGACCATTCAAGTAGACAAATATGACAGAGACAGGGACAATTAGAAACCTTGTTCAAGCTACATTAACTTTTCCAGCTATTACAACACAGCAGCTCAAGTTTGCTTGTAAAAGCTGCAGAGGGATTGCTATGCATTAGCCGTGCGATTATTAATGAAAGAAAAGGAGAATTGTGTTTATTGTAGTTTGAAAATTGCAAATAAATTTCAATTATCTGCTATGTCATTTTGTTAAACATGCACTCTGGAAATGCCTTTGTACTCTAAATCATGAGCTACTTAGAGCAAACTAATACCAGAAACCCTCAGGGAGATAGGAAGTCAATATTTTTGTGGAACTGGACTTTTTTTTTTTTCGAAGTGAAATTGGAGATGGGCAAAACCACATGAATGGGCTTTTCAGGTAGCAAGCTCTGTGGCATCCTGGCGTATATACAATTGCTAGGTACCAGTAGATGTTGAGTCAGATGTCGTGGGCAGACATCAGGGCAATCAGAACCACCACACTGTTAAAGGGAACCAGAGAAGCTCTCTCTCCTTGGGGAATATCCCCAAAACAATCATAAGAAATCGATTATGATAAATAAACAATGTCTGCCATCTCTGCTCCTTCCAATAACAAAGTCAGTCTTGGGGAAGAAAACACCTATGAGAGGTTCTGGTTAGCTGTAGAGGTGATGGAGTCAATGTTTCTGGCAAATGGCTCATGTCTACTGCCTTTCATGATGATAACTGCCAATCATTTTGAATGGGAAACTTGATCATGACACACATACACATGCACACAATTGGAAAGCAGGAATAAACATACCCGCTTCTCTGCTGCCTTTTGTGAAACTATTCATTTTTCAAAGCATGCAGACCTATACATCCAATACCAAACCTTTCCTCAGTGTCTTCCACCCAAACCACACGACAGACAGAACCACTTTCAAGGGTCTGATGAGATGTGCATCCCATGGCCTGGAAAATGCTCCACGTCCAAACTTCCCACCCAGACTTCTGTCCTCCCACCCAGGCACAGCCCACAACACATTCCCATCCAATTTATTATTCGATTTTACTGCCCATCAGGAATCGAACATGAGAAAAATAATTCTGGTGCGCCTTGGAGCCGGGGACCTGATCCAATTGTCTTCTGTAAATCAAAGAAAGACCAGCTTAGCATGGCACAAATCTGCATCCCCACCCCAGAATCTGTTGTCACACACACACACACAAAAAACCCGCTCAGTGCTCAGGAACAATCTCCCCTCTCAGCCGAGCTGCGATGATGTCAGCTTTCTGATTACAAACTGCTTATTTATGCTTCAACAGCTGCCAAGAGCAGCAAATAAGTGGCTAAAAGAGTGTCTAGACCAGGCTTTCAGGCCGCTATTGTCTGGGGGTTGTTACCTGGTTGACAGCGATGGGTCCAGCTGCCTGGTGTGAAAGGGAGCAGAGATGGCGAGGCCATGATTGACAGAAGGCCCTCGGGGTCAGCCCGATGGCCCCACGTCTTTATATTCCCAGCTCCAAAGGGAAAGCCAGGGCTCTGCCTGGAGGTTGGAGGTGAAAGGAAATGTTGGAGGGTAATGAAAAAATCTTTTGGCCAAATTTGCGATCATGAACACTTACCCCAGGGAATCAAAGGCAGTGCAAGTGGCCACAGAGTAGCCAGAAATGGGCACCTGGAACGAAAGTAGGGAGGCATTTCTGATCAACCTCACAGGCCCCTGAAGGAGCGGGGAGGAGATGCATAGGCACACATAAATTCATGTTCTTTTTCTTTTTTATGTCTTTTTTGTTTCATTTTATTCTGTGGTGTGGTATGGGAAGCTTGAGCAAATGCCTTTGTCACCACCTTTTTAACACCATCCTGATAGTTCGAGGACACTTTCAGAAACCTTCCCTTTTAGTACTTTCAATGGAAGGCTGACAGAACATGAAACACTCCAACATTTGGGGAAAATAAGGAGCTTTGCAAGCTGACGTAAATGTCTAATTAGAATTTTCCACCACCACCACTTGCAACCTTTGAATCTTCCTTTCCCATTTGTTTCCAACCACGCTCTCCATTTTAACACTTTTCAGTGTAGATTTGAATGTACAAATCGCTGCCTTCATCCTGGCATCTCACAATTCATTGTAATTGATTGGCACCAAACATTTGTGGCTTCAACCCTGCTCCTCCCCCAGCCCCATTTTATAGTTTGGGGTTCTTGTGAAGAAAAGAATACTGCTAACTCTTGATCACTGAGACACATTCATTTGAATATAATAATCATAATGAAATAACTTCTTCGGTGGAGCCCACCCTGTGGTTATTGCTACTCAAATACTTTGCTCCTTCTCGGGAACTGTAGCATTATTATTTCAACACCATTGTTCCTATAGGGATAATTAATAAATTACAGCTCCCGGGCAGAGCAACGAATGCTCCTGCTTTCACATTCTTACTTACTTTTTCTCCAAGCATTAAAAACACAGTTTCTTCCAAATACTGGCTGTGATCTAGGATCCAAATAGTGCAAATCGGATGACGCTGTAGCCTTAAAAATGGTTGCATTTTGGAAAAAGTAATAGTAAAGATGAA